CTCCCCCTGGTTACAACTTATGTACTCCCTGATAATCACATGAGCATCACTCACTATTAATCATCTTGTAAAAACTTATTTAGCTAAATACATCTTGCAGCACCACATCACTTCGTAATATGACCCATAGGCTTAACTGATTTTAATAACTTATAACCACTATATCTCAATTAAATCGTATTCCGCCTTATAATAAACTGCATACTTGCAACTAACTTGTATGCCCAAGCAGCCGGCAAGTATAAATATAAATAAATAGTCTATTGCAGATCAGAACATTGAGTCCAGAGCATGTCTCTTACGAATACACTCATGTTTAGCGATTTGTTCCTAGCTATCTGTCCAAAATTCATATAATTATCACTCACGTATTTAAATTTTATTTTGATAACCATTCATGTGTATTAGTAGTATTACTAAATTCTATCACGGTCAAGTAAAAATGAGGTTGAGAAAATCTCCCCGTAACTAAATAAACCGTATCAAACTAACTGGAACACTAGTTGGAATTCTTCGCCACGGTATACTTTTGTTCCTTCAGTTAGCCTACTAATACAGATGCAATTGGAATTCAACTCTTATGGACAACTTACCGGCATAATCGTTATTTGATTTCATAATTTAAACCAAAACTAATACCAATATTAACATTTCTACAATATTCATTATTTCAATATTTCTAAACACAAAATAATTACTGCCTATAAGTTAAGTTATTAACACGCATCGTTTTATTATTATTATTGTAACCCCATTTTTTTAAAGCTTAAATAATCTTCACCCAGATTTTCATTTCAAGCGTTTTAAACATGAAGGCAGATATTTTAAAATTATTACATGTATTTCCAGACCAGATGCTGCCGCTTTCTTTTTGATTTATCTTTCAGCTTACCAATACCCGGAGGATTCTTATTATCCTTGGTAACCTCCGGTGCGCGACGATCCCATCCAATTTGGTATCGAACCAACATCACGTTGATTCTGGTGGGAGAGTAGTGTAGTGGCATTGGACAATAGCCACACAATCCACAAAGCTGTGAACACGAGACTACTCAGAAAATAAATATTCAATATTTAACACCGAGAAATACCTAACAATGAAGAAGGCGCGAACAATGAATTGAATGGACTGGAGTTGATCGAGTGGCATGGCTCGGCCATGCAGGCGTGGTCCCTGCTGGATATTATCCTATATCTCATTCATATTAAATATATTGTTCTTTCTCTATCCTAACCTTGTTGTTCATCAGGTATTGGTAATTGATACGATACAGTGAGTTGGTGTAGTCAATGGTGTGACTTCCACGTAAGATCTTATAGATTAGGCAGTTATATCATGACGAATCTACAATTTTGGGATTAGGTCTATTATTAGAGCAGTACTAATATCATAGTAGATCATAGTTCTACAGTCTCACTACTAACCGCTTATTTGATTCGATTACTCATTAATTTCACATGCTATATATATATGTCCATGTTATTTATATGGTTGACTCTGCTTTCTCGCTCGCCTGATTGCACTCGATTACTTACATTCGCTCAGTCGCTCGCTTGCCTGTTTACCGTTCGACACAACTCTTAATGCTCGTTTAATGTATCTGTAATTTTGGACATCTGTGTGTGTGGTCTCGAAATAAACGTAATCAAAGCTTCGTATTCGCCTTCTTAAAAATATACCGTTGGGGTTAAATAGGACGGTTATCAAGAAGAATGGTATACGAAGTTTAAGGGATATATCGAATACCGACCACCACAAGTTCCTTAACTGTGGAGAATGCTTTTCGAGCGGTGTCGTCCAAATTAATGGATTTCGCATTTCCACGTTGTCGGTAAGAGGTTTCATAAGTAATGCGCATTTCGGTATGAAACGTCTATAGAAACTTACGAGGCCGTTAAACGTGCGTAATTGCTTGAGGCTGGTCGGTTCTGGGTAATCCAGAATGGCCGCCATTTTGGTTCTAAGGGATCAGATACCTTGAGCATCGATAGTGTATCCCAGAAAGTCTAACGAGTCGGTTCCAATTTGGCATTTCTGAACGTTTACAGTAACGCCATGTTTTTGTAGTCGTTCGAAAACAAGACCCAGATGCTTGAGATATGTTTCTCTGTCCGGACTTGCGATTAGGCAGTCATCAACATGCGCATGTACGAAGTTGAGACCTCGAAAAACGTCGTCTATGAATCTTTGGAATGTTTGAGCAGCATTTCTTAGACCGAAAGGCATTCGCAAAAATTCATAGAGTCCGAAGGGAGTTATGATAGCTGTTTTCGGAATGTCGTCAGTAGCCATAGGGATTTGGTTATACGCTTTAACCAAGTCGATTTTCGAAAAGACAGTTGTACCTTTCAAGGTAGCTGTCAAATCGTGAATGTGAGGCAACAGGTAACGATCGGGAATGGTTTTCGCGTTCAATCGCCGATAGTCACCAGTTGGACGCCAATCGTTGCTGTCCTTTTTAGGGACCATGTGAAACGGAGATGCATATGGGCTACTTGCCGGTCCTATGATTCCTAAGTCTATCATATGGTCGGACTCGTTTTTCGCTAACCTTAGCTTTTCGGGAGCTAGTCGTCGTGCTTTAGAGAATACATGTGGTCCTGTAGTCGTGATGTGATGTGTAACATTGCTGGTTACACACGGCAATCTCGGTTGAGTTTGTTGTATCCCAGGGTACTTATGGAGTAGTGGTTGATAGAGTGGGTCTATCATATGTTTAACTGTGACTGGGGATACTCTACAACCAGTAAACGAAGTTACACAAACGGACAAATTAGTGTTCTCGTCTACTAGCCTCCGTTTGCGCGTGTCGATGATCAGATTATGGTATTGCAGGAGATCCATACCAATGATTGGCATAGAAACATCTGCAACAACGAAGATCCAGTGAATGGGTTTGCGTAAACCCACGTTAAGGTAAACGTACCTTTTGCCATACGTAGCGATCGGTTTTCCGTTTGCCGCCTGTAAGTTTAGGGTCGACTCGTGAAGTCGGTCGTTAGGATTTGCTGGGAGAACGCTAACTTCTGCGCCAGTGTCGACGAGGTAGCGAACTCTCGTTGTCACATCTGTGACGAATAACAGACGGCTTTGTTCGCCGGCTACGGTTGCCGTTAACGCGTGCCGGCTTGGAAGTTTCCCGAATTGCTTTTCGAGTCAGTCGGTTTCGTTTTGGGAAAATTGCAGGGTTTTCTGCAATTTCTGGAAAGCTTTCCATACTGGTTATGATACCAGCACCAGTCGGGGTTATCTGTCTATCGTGGTCTAGAGACAGATCGCTTACGAGAAATGCTTCTACGTGGTGTGCGCGATCTCTTACGGTCGGTACGAAGACTAAGATAACGCGTGAGTGTGTGACATAAGTCGTTTATATCATTCTGAGTCGTTTGAGGTTTTTCTTTGACTGAAAATACCTCGGTAGTAGATTTCGTAATTTCTAAAATGCCGTCGGCAGATGCAGCTAGCTCGTCTAAGGCGTTGTTCTGGAACGAGACCAGAACTGCTTGCAACTTTTGAGGAAGTTTTGACAAGAAGAGTTGTTTGAATAGACCTTCGTCGAAAGTTCTTGGGCCTATTACCTCTTTCATCCGTTGCAACATGTCCGTCGCAAAACCGTGTTGCAGGTTGACGTTATTGAAGAGTTGATCGGTTTGGTCTCCTCGTCTAAGAATCGAGCGTTTTAAGATTTCGTAAGGATCGGAAACATCACTAGTAAACATACTAGGTGTTACGTACCTGTTGAATTCTCGCGGTAGTGCCTTGACTACTGCGAGGAATTGTGCACGTGTGTCGATCACGCCGTGCTCGGAGAAGTCGGCTTCTGCGTAGCAGAACCAGGCTTCGATGTTGTCGGGCCAGAAAGGCATGAGTTGAAACGAAGGCGGGGACAAAGTCTTAAGCTTGAGTACTTTAGGTGTCTGTTCAGTCATGATGATATATGAAGTACGATAATGAACGAGGGGAAAAAAATATATATATCCAAGAAAAAAACACGAAAAAAAATCACAATGTTTAAAAATAAAAAATAAGGCAATGATATATAAAAATCCCAAAAAGGAACAGACTCACAGTTGCAATTAGGTGTACCAGATCACGTCGGTTTCACCAATGATGATGTGACAGGTATTCAGTGTTTGACAACGCTTCTACCAGTAACACCTTCTAATACATTTCGTTCTCACCCAGAGAAATCAAAAGACAGAGTCGAGGAGATCGGAAGAGTATATTTAGCGATGACCAATATATCGGAATTCTCTGATCTAATCTGGCTAGCGATTGCGGTTGATGTTGAGCACGGCGTTACCACACGTGATCTGGTGCGGATGTATGACCGAGCGCCTACAGCTAGATGAGTCCACCAAAACATATGGTCAGCATCCAATGTCGAAAACTTAGTGCTATTTATTTTGGGGATTTATTTACCGCTACAATCAGATAAGTCGACTCGAACTAGTAAAAACTGTTTTCATTGTTTAATGAAGACCTCCTACAGTATTACACCTAACCACATGAGAGATACAGCTCCTAACCTACTCACCTCACTAAGAGGCTATTATCTCTGAAAAAGACAGTACAGAAGCATTTGAAAGGACATGAATGATTATTGGAAATATTTGAATTTGGCATACGAGCTGGGAAATCCTGGAAGCGTTCACTTCGTACTCCAAGAGTCACAAATGGACCGATATTTAAGCTAGAGATAAATCAGTGCCAACACTTTGAGTTATTGTATTTTAGAATTTTAAACAAGACACGGAAACAGTTACAAGGGAATTATTATTTGGCACAAATGATACAATACGACAATTAGGTGTCGGTGCAGATAGAACCTCTTACAAGAATTGGAAAGCGGTAAATCTTATTCAATCGTTCAACAAGAGGCTGTCAGTTCACTTCAGGAACTAGTAGTTGTATAATTCAACCAAACAAAGTTTAAAAGATAAAGGCATCAAGGTCAGCACGTCTCAAGGCCGGGTAGCTGTAAGTTATTTAAAATCTTGTTCATAAGTGTCTGCTGGTCTGTAGTGGCTTTTCAGTTTGTGTTTTTGTTGAGATCTTGTTTCTGCGAATAACCCTTCACAAGTGAAGATGGTACCCAATAATGGGTTACATGGTTCAGTCTTCAACCATTCACACCCAATATTGGGAGATATCTCCCTATTTTAGGGAAGATGTCCTGTTTGAGTAAATTGTGAGGAGACCGTTACAGAAAACTTTGGGGGACTAACACGAAACCTCAAAAATTTCCCAGAATCTTATGACACTTCAGGGTTTTTTCTTAAAATTCCCCCAAACTTCGGAGAAACTACCACATTTCTGAAGACTACGGAGAAACCCCAAAACTTACTCAAAGTTCCTCAAAATTTTCCAAAGATAGTGAGATTGGTCGGTTTTCTGTTGGTGTATCTGCAGAAACTCTAATCATGGGATAAGATATGATTAGACGTATAAAGACCGAATTAGTGAAATATTTTAAGCCTACAATATTACCTAACTAACTGTCGTTTTTGGATAGCTTGCAAGTCACATGCGCTGGCAATGTGGATGAATTTGTATCTTCAAGTATTATCTGGCTTGATGTATCGCATACATGACTTCATAGGTTTATGAACTGGATATGGCTTCTTGAAAGATGCTTTTATGGCGTCAGAAACATATGATTCGGACCGTTCATATTTCCAGATAGTTTGAAAATGTTCATATGAGAATCTTTTTTAGTCGCTAGAATGAGGCACAATACAACCATGTACTGTTATTTTTCGTGTGGACTAATTAATCATACACATGCCTGAGATTCGCGCAGAATGGTGTTTTTAAGCCTTCAAATGATGTAAGTTCAAGGATTTAAATATTTCATCTGTGCTCAGCTTCATTTTGAGAAGGACGGGAGGCCAGAATACCCGTTACTTCTAAAAATAGGGTCCCTCGGCTCAACCAACGTCCTATTAAAACATCGACAAATGGAGCTTAAGTCGACTGTCGAGTTAAGAAATTTCAGTCTTATTGATTCGTTGGGAAATTCAGCCGTTCATAGATATGTAGTTTGTTATGGTCTTGTGAACTTGTGGTGATCTCGTCATAAATCTTCTGTTTCGAGAGCCAATCAAAATGAGACCCTATGAGATGCGAAATTATTATTAGACAGTTTGAGAATTGTAGCCAAGTCACATCTAGCCTTCCTATATGACAAGCGGAATAGGTTTAGTTTAGCTACTTTCTCGCCATAAGGTAGCTCTGCGATTCCGAGAATCAAATTGTTTGTGGTTCTTTGAGTGTTTTTCAACTACCTATTGTCTTTTTCAGACTTGAGCTGACTGCTCGCATGCAATAGTTGAATTTAGGACGAACGAATACTATGTGTGAAGTCGAAGGTTCTATCATATACGTGGCCAAAGGCTCTACTTATCGACCAGAGGATTCTGAAATTTTTGGCAGTTTTCGCGACTTGACTGATAATGACTCTTGAATCAGTGTGTGTCTGAACAACAGGTAGATATCATTCACCGTTTATGTGTCCTTACCTTGGTGACCAATATACAACGTAGTACATTTTGAAGCACTTATTGGTAGCGGTCAAATTCTAGACCATTCAGATACTTTCTGCAGGTCATTTTGAAGCTCCGAAGTACCACCTATACTTTCCATCTTTCTCCATACCTTGATATTGTCGGCATATAAGGAAACCGACGATGATAGGCGATAAAGTAGTTTGTTTGCATATAAGAGGAATAACACTGGCCCCAAAGCTGTACTTTGGGGCACTCCACTAAACACAATTTTGCAGCTAGACAGCTTAGAGTCAACCTATACACTTTAGTTGACGCCTAACCTGAAAATCGTTTACTCACATAAGCGGTTTACCTTCAGTCTCGATATCAGGACTTAGACAACAGCATGTTATCTGGAACTTTGTCAAGGGCCTCACTGAAGTCGATGAAAGCCACATGCATAATTAACTTTTTATCTGTAAGAGAACATCAGCTTTCTCGAGCTACTAATAATTTCATGAAGCATAAATAACTTGTTTTAAAACCACACTGCTTTCAGAAATGATCAGTTTTCGTCTGGATACTTGTTTAAGTTTTTCCGAATGACCTTTTCATGAACCTTAACACCCACGCTGGTTAGGCTTACGGGCTGATTGTTCTCAGGTGTTTTTTGAAGACAGGACTTATTATGGTGTTATTCCGGTCCTTTGATGATATACCCTGGGCTACAGATAGATGAAAACACATGCTTAAGTGATTAACGCCATTACCACTTATGTAGCTTCTTATTTTTCTTCGACATATGTGCTGCCAAGTTTAACAGTAATGATAAATTCTTAATCGCTTGGAATTAGTTTCTGTATTACATTGCATGCTACAATGGCTTTTTTAGATCAATTTCATTTTCTTGTGATACAATAAATTGCTTCTCATCTTTCGTGCTCTATGTTCTGCTACATGGTGTTTTTGTTGGTACAAAACTGACCTAATTTTCCCAAACTCAACATTATGAAATATTCTTAATTAATTTTTAAATAATATTAGGTACATGTAAGTTGGCGTTTCTAACTATTTTGAAGATGACTATTTCGAAAAACATGCTCGTTATTTTTGTTTTCCTCTTCCTCGACGTCGTAACTGTGAGTATGATTCTACCATGGATGCCTTCTCTTTTGGAAACATACGAGTCTGAAAAAGTAAGTTGCATTATTTGTATATTACAAAAGGAATGGTTTTATACTTTGTCCAAAAAATATATCCAATACCTGGGTTTTGTTTTGGGATTTCAAGAAGGTTCTACATGGGACAGAGTATTCATTGGAGGTATGCTTCTCAGTTTAGCAGCAATATTTTCATTTTAGGCCTTCTGTCGTCATTATCATCTTTGGTGCAATTTGTATCGTCGCCTGTAGCCGGAGCTTTATCAGACTATTTTGGCAGAAAATCGGTCTTAGTTGTCCTTCAGGTTTGTGGTGATATATATACATATATATGACTTGGCTGTTTTCATCTATAATTTTCCTGAGTAGCATAAAGACATCGTTTTAGAAAACGTCAGTAACAGTTGTGCAACTTGCGTATAATGTGGAAAAGTAACACAGTTTATGATGCATCAGCATATCTTTTTAAACTAACTTTAGCAGAATATAGTTGGCGTGCAATTGGAAATAACTACTATTGTAGAGTAGGTAGAGAAATCCGTAGATGTTTTAGTTGATAAGGTTGATTTTATAATTTAAGGGCAAACTAAATCAATGCAGTTAGGATTCCAATCGTAGAAAAGTGGGAACAATTTCTGATTAATTGTGCTTTAATACTGCTATTAAGTTGTGAATGTGAAGTAAATTACATTGACTTACTGGCTTTTCTTAACGCAAACTTTCAAGGCTATTCTCCTTTTAATTATGGCTGAAGTGCAATAGTGAAATGACGAATGAATTAAAATATTTCTCTTTCTTCAGTATACTACGGTAACACGGTAATAAAACTGATCTGAGTTACCGAGTTCACAATACCACTAGATTGAATAATCGAACGACCCGCTAGATCACGTTACACCAGCTACCCGACTCACGACCAAGAGCAAATTGAATGCTGTTACTCTCGGTTAGTCCGGATTATAAATTAATAAGAGGGAAGAAAATCAAATATTTAATAATCATTAGGCTGCACGCCTGTCTGTCCACACTCAGCGACCAATCACACTTACTTTCCTTACATGTTTACTTCCTTACGCCTGTTATCTTTCGTAGAGGAAAATTGGCTGCCACCAGCATTTTCCATGCAACTCTTTCCTGTGCAATTCTTTTAATATCTGCTTCCAATTACCGACACAATCTGTTCCTTGGTCTTCCTTTATTCTTGTTCCTTTCAGGATCCCAAGTTGGCACTCGCTTCGTGATGCAGTCAGTCAGTCAGTAACAACGTAGAACTTCGTTCGTACGTACGTCAGTTCGAGTTGCCACACCACATTAGCACAGAGATGCAGTGGTCGATTCAAATCCCGTAGTGGTAGAGGTAATAAGAGTATAAGCAGTAATCGGGAAAATTAGTGTTTGGAGATGTTATTTAAAGAGTATAATACAGTGAAATAAATTTGGGAAGAGAAAAAAACACAAGGAGGAATAAGGAGATCAAAATTTGGGAGAACACAAAGAGTGGATGCACCTGCGCCATTGCAAACGATTTTGAGCCATGTCATTCAGGGTCTCTAACCATCGGTTGCTGTCATCTCGCGGTCCCCAACCAGGTAGTCTACACCTACCAACATGACTCAGTTCACTTGTCAGTGACTTCATGCACTTGTGCCATGTTTTGGTTTGGCCGCCCCTAGCTTTCTTCCAACCTACTCCTATACCACTGAACATAGCACGTCGAGGCAGTCGGTCGTTGGGCATACGTAACACGTGTCCCAGCCATCTCAACTGATCAAGTTTCACTACTTCATCAATTGATTTGCCATCCTTACCTAGTACCCGTTTCCTAACAACTGTGTTACTTACTCGATGGTCCCATGATATACGAGCAATGTTTCGAAGACACCTATGATCGAATACTAGTAACCTACGGATATCCTCTACTCTTACCGGCCATGTTTCACTGCCATAAAGTAGAACGGAACGAACTGCTGCACAGTAAACACGTCCTTTGGTTGATAGACGGATATCTCGCCTATGCCATAAATGACGCAAGTTGGCAAAAGCTAGTCGAGCCTTCTGTATCCGTGCTGAGATTTCGTCACACACCAAACCACAAGGGCTGATGAGACTTCCAAGATAAGTGAAGCGGTCGACACACTCAACTACTTCACTCCCTATCACTAGTTCGGGTGTCGATGTAACCCAATCCTGAAGCAACATTTTGCATTTCGAGGGAGAGAATCGCATCCCGAACATGCTTGCATTGTTGCTTAGAGTGGTCAGAAGACTCTGCATTTTGTCAGCGTCTTCACCAAATAAAACTATGTCATCTGCATATTCTAAGTCAACAAGTGAACCTCCTGGTAGAAGTTCAACCCCTGTAAATTTAGATGAGGAGAGTGTTATCTCTAAAAGTACGTCAATGACAAAGTTGAACAAGAATGGGTAGAGTGGACAGCCCTGACGAACACCACTTGAGGTGATCAATTCTGATGACAGTTCGCCATAAGCTCTCACTCTACCAGTTGTGTTCGAGTAGAGAGCCTTTATAAGGTTAATGTACTTCTTTGGTACTCCTTTCAGTGACAAACACTGCCATAGAACCTCACGATCAACGGAGTCGAATGCCGCCTTAAGGTCGAGAAATACTACCATTGTGGGGCGTCTGAATGTGTGTCTCTGTTCTAGAACCTGACGTAGTGTGAATATCTGATCTATACAACCACGTCCAGGTCGAAAACCAGCCTGGTTTTCTCTAGTCTGCTCTTCACGAGCTTTAGTTAGGCGTCGAAGTATTATTGAGGCCAATATTTTAGACACTATATTAGTCAAACTGATTCCTCTGTGATTGTCACAAGAGGACTTTTGTCCTTTCTTAAAAACTGGCACAATCAGTGATTGAGACTGGAGATCGTGGGAAACCGAAGTCTGGCTGAAGGCCAGTTGAACTGATCCCTAAAGTGTTCTGCCCATCGATCCAATCTCCTGGATTGAGAATGTATAATGTCTCTTTCTCTGGGAGTATTTCGCTAACAGTCGGGTTCCTAATACCGGTTTCCTTAACAAGTCTGAACAATTTCTGCTGTTACCTATTGCCGCTGCCTTTTCCATCTCTCTTGCTTTCGCTACCCACCACTATTCACGATCATTGCGTAGACTTCTTGTCAGCTTGCGCTTAAGCTGACTCCGCTCTTCATTAAGTTCAGAGCCAGTTGGAATGAGCTCCCGAGCATCTATCAGTGAGATAGATGCTGCTGAGATCCAGTGTTGCTCCCTAACCTTACGGGTTACCGTACTAGCAGATACCAATGCTGTTTCCACAGATTTTCGGATATCATCTCATGCTGCCTCGGGGTGGGCATCACATACATGGCTGCCTAAGTGTTTTCCTAGTTGTTCCTGAAATATACTCTCAGCTTGGCTATCATTAAGTAGGCCCCTAAGAGGTTTCCTTGCAGCGTCTTTCCTACGTCCAGTAAGACGCAGACAGATACGCGCTCGTACTAGAGCATGATCTGAATCTAAGCATGTGCTCCGGAATGAGCGACAGTCTTCTATCGAACCCCTCCATCGGTGGCTGATAGCGATGTGATCTATTTGGTTCCAACGTTGGGACGAATTAGGGGGTCGCTATGTTAAAAGATGTTTTCCCTTATGCTTAAAGTTAGTATTTGCAAGGAACAGGCGGTTATCTGAGCATAGCTGCAACAGACGGTCGCCGTTATCTGTTCTTTGAGCCACGATGCTATAAGACCCACCTGGGTGTCTTTCCCTATCGCTTAGTTTACCTACTTGAGCATTAAAGTCACCGGCCATTATTACTACACCAGAGCGCCTAACTTTTTGGAAAAGGTCGGGAAGCCTTCTGTAAAACTCATCTTTTACATCATCTGCGCTGCAATCAGTGGGAGAATAGGCAGAGACGACGAAGAGGCAACGACGAGTGTCTCTATGTTTCCGAGTCCTTACTGTTCCGTTTAGTCGGACAGCGCACAAACGACTTTCTACTGGGATCCAGTCTAAGAGAGCTAATTTTACCCTAGGACTCAATGCTATACCTACGCCGGCGAGGCCACGGGAAGCAGAATCTGGGCTTCCAGATACACGAAGTGTGAATCGAGTTGGTTCTTTTTGTTGACATAGTGAGGTCAAATGAATGACGCTACTCGGATCCTGTATGCGCGTTTCGGAGACGCAGCACACATCGATGGCGCGGGATTCTAAAGTCTTAGCTAAGGAAGCCTGCTGTCCTATTTGGCAAAGTGTTCGTACGTTAAAAGCTCCTACGTGTAGTTTAGAGCGTGGTTTCAGGAGACCAGGAATAACGCTCCACGTACTCGAATCGTTTGCCCTAGCGGTGCGAGGTGATAAAGAGACGTGGGGAGGGTTAGTCGGGGAGGTAAGAGAGGTATTAGAAGGTGTATGAAAGATTTGAATGTGACCACCTTGGTCTCTTGTGCTGTTACGGGTATGAGGGCTGATATCACTTCCCAGCTGCCCACACCGTGGAAGGGTATTTCTTGAGGAACCTGAAATAGAAGTCGGATTAGGGTTGGTCTTGACGACCTGGGAGCGTGACCGCAGAGCCCAAGCGACAACTGCTTGAGGCCGGTCGCGCACGGTCTTTTTGTGGAAGGTTTTTAACGTGTTAGCTCCGTTCTTCAAAGGGCCTTACCGCCGGAGACGGAAATCTGTGAGGTAAGGTGAGGTGTGACATTTTTAGGGTCGACCTTTTCTAACCCCACCCCTCCTTGTGGGAAGGCAGCATCGTTGTCATGCTGGTTGTCCGAGGGAAACACCTTACTGCTGTCACATCTCTCTACAGTCAGCAGTACGACTTCGCCCTCAGATCTTGAGTGATGGAGTTTGGTCTTCACAGTGTATGTTTTATCCACTTGAGGCTTACTTACTTACGCCTGTTACTCCCAATGGAGCATAGGCTATCGACTAGCATTCTCCAACTCACTCTGACCTGGGCCTTCCTTCCTAGTTCTACCCAATTGTTGTTCATTCTTCTCATGTCTGTCTCCATTTCTCGGCGTAATGTGTACTTTGGTCTTCCCCTCCTCATTTGGCTTTGAGGATTTCAAGGGAGGGCTTGTCTTGTGACGCAGTTCAGTGCTTTCCTCAATATTTGTCCTATCCACTTCCAGCGCTTCTCCCTGATTTATTCCTCTGATTTGTGTATGAATTTATGGGGGAGTATTGTACCACCTATAATCATTTTGTTGAGGGCATATAGATTTGCAAATCTCTCACCATTTTCGTTCCTTTCTCCTAATCCATGTCGTCCCATGATATCTTCATAACCGTTGTTGTTCATTCCAACTTTGTTGTTTAGATCTTCCATCACGATTGTCAGGTCCTTTACTGACAGCTCTATGATCGATTGTAGCCTCTCATAAAACTGGTCTTTATTGTCGTCGTTGCTACCATCGGTGGGTGCATAACATTGGATAGCATTCATTGTGATTCCCTTCTATTTTGCTTTGAAGGATGTTTCGCTGATCCTGGATCCGTGAAATTCCCATCCTATAAGTTCACTTTGTGCTTTTCGAACAGCTTCAGAATGACTCCCTGTCAGTTCGGAGCAGTATATTTTTCGTGACCAGGGTACAGCAGCATCTCTGATGAGTCCATTCTTTTCTGTCCAACTTGGGTCCAATGGGTTTCGCTGAGTCCGAGTACTGCCAAATTGTATCTACTCATTTCCGTAGCTGTTTGACTGGTCCTCCCGGTTTCCCACATTGTCCGGACATTCCATGTACCCATATTGATTTTTGTTCTGGTTGTTGGAAGGTGCATCGGCCTCGTGACTACCGAAGAATTTGGGCTTTCATCATGAGGCATCATAATTCTTCTGCACGACGATCCTTCAACCCGGAGGGCACACTTTAAATGGTTTAATTAGTTTAACCTAGTTAGCGTTTTTATAGCAATGTTGTTATCTACGGGATGGGGTTGCCGATCTCATGCCCGACCCTCCTCTTTTGTCTGTGCATGGGACTGACAGTAACTCCAGAAGAGCTACAGGCGGAATAGTATTTACTCACTACTAGATAACATGTTGTGTTGAAGTACGATGTAATTAGTTTTACATAATGATTATTTATTTGCTACATTTTTTCCATTCAACAGGTATCGCTTATAATTGTTAATGTTCTCTGGTCAGCGTTGGGTAAGTCATTTCTGTGGCTACTGATGTATCGTGTATTATGTGGTGCTGCACGAGCAAATGTCGGTGTTGTATCAGCACTTGTTGGCGATATCAGCAGTGATACGTTGCGTACTAAAGGAATGGCGGTTGTTGGCCTGGCTTATGGTATCGGATTCACTGTAGGACCACCATGCTCAGTTATCTTACTTAGCCAGTGGAAAGTACATACATCAACTGAATACTTGAGCTGTATGCTGGGTTCTACGTGTTTGCTTCTTAATTGTATAAATCTCTTAATCTTGATTTTTGCTCTGCCGAGTACATTACAAAAGGTATGTTTTCTCATGTTATATCACATTTCTGAAAATTATTCTTTAACTGACGCATTTGTAAACATCAAATTTTTTTTATTTTGAGCTTAATGTCTTAATAATTTTGTCCTCCGTAATTCCAATCAGTCGGTTACGAAAGTTTCACTTTGCAACAGTAGATATGCTTTAGACAAATATCTTGAAACTGAAGGTTATACAGATTATGCATCTGAACCGAACACATCTCACACTTTTATGACTTCAGTCAGTCAGCTACAACGTAAGACCAGGTACATATATGCATCGGTCCAAGTTGCCATACCGCATTAGCACAGCAAGATGAACATTGGATTCATAGAAGTAGTTAAGTCAATGATGGTAATATATTAAACAAAGAATGCATATAAAGGTATATTAGAGGAACAAAGATTTAGTACGTAGAAAGAAAGATATGAAGCGATTTTAATCTCATAGTTTAAGGGAAGACAAAGAGTGTATACACCTATGCCATTGTGATCGATTCTAAGCATCTCTAACCATTGGTTACGAGTCACGCGGACCCCAACCAAGTAGTCTGCATCTACCAACACGGCTCAGACCAGAAGTTAGTGACTTCAAGCACTGATGCCACGTTTTGGTTTGGCCGCCTCTTACTTTCTTCAAACCATCTCCAACACCGGTTAGGATTGCACGTCGTGGTAATCGGTGTTCAGGCGTACACTACACGTGGCCCAACCATCTCAGTCCATGAAGATTCACAACCTCATTAACTGATTTACCATCATTCTCTAATACCCTGGGTCTAACCTCAATATTACTTACCCGGTGATTCCAGCAATATTTCTAAGGCATCTGTGTTCAAATACTAGCAACTTACGGATATCTTCAACTCTTAATGGGCACGTTTCGCAGCCGTAAAGTAAAACAGAACGAACTGCCGCGAGGTATACCCGTCCTTTCATTGATAGACTGACATCTCGCCTTTTCCATAGGTGACAGACACAGCCACAGAACCTCTCGGTCTACAAAGTCAAATGTTACTTTTAAGTCAAGAAAGACCACCATTGTCGAACCCCGATAAGCATACCTGTGTTCTAAAACCTGACGAATAGTGAATATGTGGTCGATGTAGCCACGACCAGGTCTGAAGCCAAATTGATTTTCTCGTGTTTGCAGTTCACGAGTCTTAGTTAGGCGTCCGATAATTATCGAGGCTATTGTTTTAGATGCTATATTGGTCAAACTAATCCCTCTATGGTTATCACAGGGTGATTTTGACCTCTTACATATTGGGGAAATCAGTGATTATGACCAGTCAGTCACCTGCTACGAGCACTATGCCTGAACGTTTAGTTTTCTGAAGAATTTCAGATAGCTTTCTGTAAAATTCATCCGAGCTGCAGTCAGTGGGAGCGTAGGTAGAAAAGCCAAAAAGGCAGCGACTCATCAAGTGGATAGGACAATACATAGTGGAAATCATCAAACTGCATCACAAGGCGAGCGATAACTTGGAACCCTGAAGGGAAACGGAAAAGAGGATGACCACGGAACACATCGTGTCGGCAATTGGGAGCAGATATGAAAAGGACTGCCCAGGACAGAGCTGGATGGAGAGTTCCGGTGGGCGGCCTATGCTTCTCCATGAGGGGTAACAGGCGTAATTAGTGTCTTTGTGTTTTTTCGTAGTGATAGTAAACTATATTAATATTAAAGTTAACAAAAGAGTTCGACCGACTTTAGTAGAATTGAAGTTTATAAAAGGCCATGTGAACGGGTAAAAAATGTCTGTGTTTATTTCTATTTTTTCAGGGCGGAAATATCGGTCTATTAATCAACCAAGCAGTACGTTTGATAAATCCGGTGAAGTTGTTTTCACTATCTGGCACAACGAAATGTCCTAAATGTGAGTTTCGTTTGTTATTCAACTCTGTATTTTTTTGGGGATTATCCATTTAGTAATTGCCCTTATGCAATAATCAGTTCGTAAAATTAAACACTAACCCGTATTTACCTAATGTCTTACGTAGATGAAAAATCTTTGCGTCATTTGGCATACTTTTGGTGCGGCTACTTGTGCGTATACTGCGGAATAGAATATACAATACTGTTTTTGGCTAGAATCCGCTTTAATTTCTCAAGGTCAGTTAGTTTCGTATAGGAATCCTCTCATTCTCATAAACATAACTGTTGGTATACGGTGGTCGTGTCTTTTGTTTATTTAGGATGACAAAAGTCACCAGTTTGTAGGTGAATAGTTAATCATTTGCATCTGAATCGAAAAATTACCATTTGCTTAAATCTATTAATTTATTGTGTTGAGTTTATTCCATATATTTTAAATAATCTCCAATTACCAAAGGTTTTTCACAGGTTTATATGTATATAATAGTATTTAGCATCATATTGAGAGCCCTGATGTTTGATACGCTTCTGAACATGAATCTACCGTTTAACTCTTGCTTCATCCCTAGATTATTAAACGTAGGAAAAAAGCGAAGTTGATGGTTAGAATGAGATAAATGTTATTGCTAGGACTGCTTCGGTCTGGGCACCCGGGCAGTATCACAGCCCCCACACACACACAAATATGGTGTGGCGCACATATATTTGGTGCCCTCTTGTACCAATATTTATTTGTTGAAATAAATAAATAATAAGACTGGAGCAGCAAAATCATTATTGGTTGCAAAGTATTTTTTATTGGTAATAAGCTATTTATTAGTGCATTTTAATTAGTTGAATGTGTTTTAACCCGTTGTATTGGGATTTGTTGCTTAAATGTGAAATCCTTGTTTATAAAATTAATTTCATTTTGAAATTTCTTATTTGCTAGTGCAGTATGTGTACATACCACTATAATTTTTCTGACGAGTTCTCTTATTGTATCTTATTTCATCTTCGTTACTAGCTCTGATCAAGGCAGAATGTTCGGGTTTATTGGGATAATAATGATTCTAGTTCAAGGTAAGTCGCAAAGAATATTCAGACTGAACTACTAATTAGCGAACTTATAAAATTTCCAATTTCCTGTTTATTTACTTCATGATAAAGCTCACATATCAACATGCCTTTTCAGTTTCTAATGTCTTTAAGGGATTTGAATGAATCTATCTAGGAAATCAACAGAGCTGTGATCTGCTGATTTTCCTAACTGGTAGTTTTGGAAGATATTTAAAGCAATTAGTCCCTTACATAAATTCCGATAGAACAATGAGAAGACGGAGTTGACCTGAAAAATGTGATATATTTGCGCTATATATTTCGAACAATCTGGTCACACATATACTTGTCAGGTCATTTTATATGAAAATTACTAAGGGTCAATTAAATGAAAGTTCAAGTAGAAAAGGTAACAAAGGGGAGAGAAACAATTTTACATCGTATAGAAGGAATAAGAAATTGTTGCGTTATCCTAGGCCATACAATGACTTAAGGATTACCAGGGTAAATTCAGGGTTACGACAAATCGTTTTTGTACACATAAGGGGGGGGTAAATTTACAAATAGCCAAGGCTTCAATAAACCTGTGAATTCGTCCTCGTTTTGAACCCCATTGAGTTTATCTAATAACTGGGATACCTCAAAATCTTTATCACATATAACTAGTATATCATCCATGTGTTCTATACAAAGTTGCCTCGTTAATGATTTAAGATATTTTGAATTAGTGATCAGAATTATACGCTACTAATACGAACAGTAAAATAGGTTCGCTTATGAAACTAGGCAAGTCGTGCAAACTTCAGTGTCAGAATCATCAATAATGGCCTAGAAATCCTTTCTTATATACTTGTTACTGGGGTAACTGACCTACTTCCAGCTACCTTCTTCTTTTATGTGATTTACTAACCGAATCTAGTAGTGGTAACTATTCCCTCTAAATCTCATACTTTTTAGAATTATCTAATTTCCAAGCCTACGCACTGCTAGACTTTCACATTTTCCCAATCAAAGGTATAGTTGTAGTTGCCTGCGCATGCTATAATTATCAATAACAAAATGTCCTTTGGTCGCTACCGGACGTTCATGGATTGTTATAACTTCCCCAAACTTCATTTGACAAATGGAGTAGTATCAACAGTCTTTTAAAATAGTTTTGTAAATCCTGTTGATGAGCTTTTCCTTTTGAGTAGTGAATCTTTCAAATTTTGTAGTACACTGGTGTGCAAACTCATTGTACATTCTAGCTGGTAGCGTGCTATTGTTCGTTTGTTCGATGATAATGAGCTTAAAACATATTTCAACCTAAAGATGAATTCATACTAAGCATTTATTATATATGGATTATTAGTTAAAGCTCATGACTCCTATAATGTTTTGATTTTTTTTATCTTGACAAGGCATTGTATATGAAAAGGTAATTTATCTTTTTTTATCTAAAACTAGCCTGCTTTATACGTAGCTTCAAACTTGGTGGAGAAGACAAAGCCATTACATGGGTAAGTTCTGTTCGCATTATTTTAAAACTGAATTTCTCAGCAACTGCATTAATGACTTTCGTAATTGGAATAATTGCATTTAACCTGTATTAATTTTGTAGCCGTGAAATGTTGATTTTTTCTGACTCGGACAGTTTCACTGAATAATAACTTCGCCCGTCGCTCATCTGGAACATAACATTAACTGTTCCCACAGATTTTGGCAAAAATTAAAAGCTTCGAAAAATCATCGACCGGTATATGCCTCTAAAAATGAAATATTGGCATTACGAGACTCTAGTAATAACATCTAAGTTACAGATAACCTATAAAAATGATAGCACTTACTATATATCCATTCGTAGTACATTTAAAATTACAGCAAATCAAACAAAATAAAGTTAATCCAAGTAACATTAAAGCCGTGCAGCAAGCTGCAGTGATGTGTATTCATTCACCTGTCTTATTTAAGCAATTGCACCCCTAATATTTCCGTCAGCAGTTATTTCGCCTCAACACGTGCTTAAACACTTCAGAAAAGTGCGAACTCTTCGTCGTCCACGAACATCACTTAACATTTAAGAATACAGAACCAGCGTTATTAATTTCGCCTGATAGGTTTACCATTACTGAATTCTTTCCGTCCCAGTTTGTTCCTTTCATTGCTTAAGTTATCACGCTTTTAAAGTACAATGGCGGAATAATATACCATCATATTAGATTTGACCTTTTGATTTCAAGTTTTGTGTACAACTCAGTTAGTTGCTTTGGTAAACTATCGTTTGACCATTTGTCTCTTCTAAAAATAATCGCCACTCAATATGTCTATTTGGACTCGGTGTGACACCCGACCGTAGCTGCTACCTTGACGCGGTGGTCGGGCTTCTTATCGTGATGACCCAACCGAGCTATATTGGCTGGAATATATGTTCCTGTAGGTTCTACCATGCCAGGCAGGTCGACTAGAGAACGGTAAGACTAAAGGCAGCAACTCAAGGTCTGAGGGCGAAGTTGTACTGCCCTCACTCTACCTGAGGTGTTTGTATATAGTGCCTTTAAGATGTTAATAAAGTTCTCAGGCACACCCTCCTCCAGTGAACAATCCCAGAGAACAGTCCTGTCCAACGAATCGAAGGCGGCCCTAATGTCAAGAAACACTACGATTGTAGACATGTAATAAGTATGATGGTGTTCTAACATTTGACGGAGTGTGAAGATATGATCAATACATCGTCGACCAGAACGAAAACCAGCCTGCTCCTCGCGAGTCAATCTTTCTCGGGTTTTGAACAATTTACGAAGTATGACAGAAGCCAATAGTTTGAACGGAATCGCAAGTGGACGTATCCCTTGATAGCTGTTACAGAAACGACGTGAACCCTTTTTAAGGATAGAGACAACTGTCGATTCATTCCGTGATGTTGGGACACCGACTAATTACCAAACGTTTGTAAACAACGATGTCAGTTCGTTAACCAGGAAGTCACCACCATCTTTAAAAAGGGCTAGAGGTAAGTCATCTGCGTCTGTTGATTTGTAGCGCTTCAAGAGTTGGAGTTCCTTGCGGACTTCCGCCTCATTTGGTGGATCAGTCTTCTCCGGCCATGGAGGGCAGTACAGTCTGATCGATGTTGCCGGAGCAACAGACTAGTTGAACTGCTCCTCGAAAAACTGCCCATCGCCCAAGACGTCAATGGATGTTAGTGATTGGCATCCCGTCATCCTCACAGATCGTTTGGCTCACACCAGACTTCTTGCTGTTAGTGGCTCGGATGAGTTTGAAGAGCTTCCGGTAGTTAACAGATTCAGCTGCTGTTTCCAACTCGTCGGCACGCTCCGACCACCAGGCTTCTCGGTCCTTACGCAAGCTTTGCCCAATTTCATTACGCAACAGCCCTCGTTTGTGGTCAAACATTCGATTGAAGTGTGTCCTAAAATGGTACGTTTGCTTTCTGGACGCTCATTACTCATGTAGATAGCCTAGCTAACCGGAATCGACTGAATCCATAGTGTTTGCAGGGCTGCACACATTTCTTAGCATGATTTAATTCCACCGTATATTTCCTATCAGTGATTTTGATCTAACGTTTTAGGGATTGATCTTTCTGAAAGCTCATTTATCTATTTGAAGTACTCAAATGGTGTGATTCTCTTATTGATACCGTGATACCACATAATTAACGAAATCTCAGCACGGATACAGAAGGCTTGATTAGATCTTGCCAACTTGCGTCATTTATGGCGTAGGCAAAATATCCGTCTATCAACCAAAGGACGTGTTTACTGCGCAGCAGTTCGTTCCGTTCTACTTTATGGCAGTGAAACATGGCCGGTAAGAGTAGAGGATATTCGTATGTTACTAGTATTCGATCATAGGTGTCTTCGAAACATTGCTCGTATATCCTGGGACCATCAAGTAAGTAATGCAGTTGTTAGGAAACGTGTACTAGGTAAGGATGGCAAATCAATTGATGACGTAGTGAAACTTCATCAGTTGAGATGGCTGGGACACGTTACGTATGCCCGACTACCGACTGCCTCGACGTGCGATGCTCAGTGGTATAGGAGTAGGTTAGAAGAAATCTAGGGACGGCCAGATCAAAACATGGCACAAGTCCATGAAGTCAATGACAAGTGTACTGAGTCATGTTGGTAGGTGTAGACTACCTGGTTGGGGACCGCGAGATGATAGCAACCAATGGTTAGAGACCCTGAATGACATGGCTCAAAATCGTTTGCAATGGCACAGGTGCATCCACTCTTTGTGTTCTCCCAAATTCTAATCTTCATGTCCTTATTTTTCTTTTTCCACACACACTTGGGCAATTTTGAAGACGAGTCTGATCTAAGTATGTTGGGAAAGTAAACACTGATGATAAGTAAGAACAAAATCATTAATGCTCAGTTAATGAAATAAGAATATTGACCTAAATGACAGTCTGAATAAAAAGGCTTGCTGATGTAATTGATTGGAAGAACGAGTTGAACAAATTTTGACGATGTAGTGAAGGGATATTTAACACCGAAGCAAAGAAGCATTAACAGCAATCTGTTTTCGAACACATAAATCAGATTTCGGACGCCTGATAGCAACGGCTTCAGGAGAATGGAGCTTGGCTGCTGATTAATCCCCAAGAAACACTACAAGATATCAACCTGATATCCTATATGCAAGAGATGTTTAGTAGTTGCAATGGTTCGTAAGCTTTGTGGAACATGTCTGATAAACCTAAGATATGCCCTCCGTTGTTGAAATATCACGTCTGTCGTTATCAAGAAAGTGGAATATGTCATTCTTTTCCTATTCCATGGTAAATTGTATATTGAAATGAGCATTAATGAAGAATTCCAACGGGTGGATTGCATGCTGTCTAGTGTTGCAGACAATCAACGTGTGATCAGCATATCTGTAGTAGTCCGTCATTTCGTTAATTCCTTGTCTAAGCTCCGTGTTTTCAAAATAACTCATGAGAATATCTAGACCTATCGGACTTACCATTGCTACACCATCAATTTTACGGCGTATCGTTATTGAGCCGGAATTGAACGTCTTTTGTGCATATATGGATGGATATCCCAAATTCAACAACGCGGTTCAAACGTCGGGTATTCGCTGTTCGTCCTGTTACTTCTAAATAACCGTACAAGGAAAGGTCAGGGAACAAGAATTTCTTGACAATGGCCACAAACACTTGGTCATATAAAAGCATTTTTGGAGGGAAAACTGATTGTCCCTACTGTTGGCTGTATCAGGGCATTTGGAGGCGCGGAGCACGATAGAATAGTCCACACGTTTAACTGCATATAAATTCATTTTTTTCAATGTAGTGATGTAACTTTACTTTTTCAGTCGAATGCTTACATCTAAAAAGTATTTCTTTAACAATATTTATACACGGCAGTTTCTCTCTATTTTCTTTCTTAACAGAGTTCTTGCTGTTTGATTTTGGCGTCTGCCATTTTCAGTTTCGCCACAAATATTTTCGTTTTCTATATCGGACTAGCTTTATATGCATTAGCATCCTCCATCTTCTTTCCGAGTGTAAACGGTTTGGTTTCTTTGTACACTACTGCAGAACAACAAGTATGTTTAGAAATATATTTAGGTGTGAGTGAAAAATTGCATGTACCCTAACCACTTCCTTGTTATATGACGGAGACTTCCTAAAAACACAGAAATCGGAAGTGTGGTTCAAATACTTGAATGATATTCTTGATTAAAACGAATAAGCTGTTAACATTTTCAATTCCGTCTTCAAGATAATTGGAACTTTGCATCCAACTCCTATTAAACACACACAAAAAACAGGTTTTAGCTTTCTGTTTTGTCACGCAGTACTCGAGACTAACACAGAAGGTTCTTGTATGTATCAGAAGTCTTCACTCACTCAGTGAGTTAGAAAATTAAGAGAAAAAGAAGTTTATTGGGCTGGACCGGATCAAACGCTCAAGATTATATATATATATATATATATATATATATATATATATATATATATATATATATATATATATATATAGCATCTTGAAGTCCCATTCATCTGACTGACATACCTGAACTATTTATTTACACTGTACAACGTATCTTTTCCTTACAAATATTTTACGATATAACATAGATGAGTTTTCTCGCAATACTTATTTGGTAACCACAATTTTCCGGGAACATCTTCAGCTTTCGCAAACAGGACCTCTGTTAATAAATTGCATTAATCATCTGTTAGCTTTAGAAATGTGACGAACATAATGTATCGCAGAATAGAGCTTTTTTGTAACACAATGATCAGTGTTTGCTGTAGTTGGAGAATACTCCTATAAAGGTGCTTCTGTCTTCAGTCTAAGAAGCATCCTATACTGTTGCAACATAATCAATATAATTTCTGTTTAAAATGCGTTACATGATACTTCTTACTTGGTATCTGAACAACAGGGTGTAGCGATTTTGAGATCAGTTTACATAGTTCTATCCAACATTTTAGATGCATTTGCAATTTTCTCTACTTATCACCGTTAAAACTGTTCTAAATGATGGGTTTTAACACTATGTTCCTGCCACTGATAACAACCTACAGAGTATTTTGTTTGTTTAAGTAATATTTAGTCAGGGCCAGTATCGATGTAAAACCTCCAATTTTATCTGAATTTTAGGGGCAAACGTTGGGTATATTCCGTTCACTGAATGCATTGGCTCGTGTCATGGGTGCGGTGATTGTTACTACAGTTTTTTGGATTTATGGACCCAGCATAACCTATATGTTATGTACTGTCTTCTTAACTTTACTGCTTACTTACAGGAAAATTACTTCAGTAGTAACTAAATGTCAGTCCAAACAAACGTACAAGGAGGAGTAAATCAGCAACAGACCATCAGGGTATCCTTTCTCACAAACTGCTGTACAGCTACTGCTAAACAGGTTTCTTTGTTAATAATTGACCCAGAATATCATGTACCATCACCGACAATTTCCCAAGTAGTTTGATAAATGCCATTACTGTTAAAATTAACCAAATTCTTTTAAAATTAAATCAGTGACGTAAAATGAAGATTGTTTTTTGGTACATAATCTCACTTCTTCCACTTACGCCTGTTACCCCTTATGGAAAAACATAGGCCGCCCACCGGAACTCTCCATCCAGCTCTGTCCTGGGCAGTCGTTTTCATATCTGCTCCCAATTGCCGGCACGATGTGTTCCGTGGTCATCCTCTTTTCCGTTTCCCTTCAGGGTTCCAAGTTATCGCTCGCCTTGTGATGCAGTTTGATGATTTCCACTATGTATTGTCCTATCCTCTTGAGATATCTTTTCCTAATTTCCTCTTC